TTTTTGCACTTTTTTGATCCCTTAACTATATGAAATGCACTCCGGTAGTACTTCTGTTAATTTTGGGCCGTTAACTTTGTCTATGTGGCATTTGTTTTATATTTTTTTATGATGTGGAGAGCAAAATTTAAAAAAGTGATGATATGCACAAAACTTTTGCCATGTCATGCTACCGTGTGGTCAAAATGCGCCAAATTCATCCAAATGAGTTACATCACTACTAAGAATTGCTTTTTTTGCCCATCGGTTATTGTTTCTATTCTTTCCATCGTCGATGTTCTTTCTATATTCAAGATTGAAATCATTTAAACAATACTTAAAAAATATGAAAAAAAGAATCCCAAAAATCGCTTACAATAACCTGCAATTTGAATAATCTCTTGACAAACAAACATATAACAAAAAAAAAAAAGTAGAGTTGAGTTTGACAGAACCCGCAGATCTGGGTTCGATGAAACCTATAGGTTCGATGGGTTTCATCGAACCCAGCTCAATTCACTGGAACCCAGTTGCCCAAAAATCCCTCACAACAACCTGCAATTTGGATAATTTGTTGGCAAACAATCATATAACAAAAAAAAAAAAATCCAATTACCCAAAAGTCCATCGCAACAACCTGCAATTTAGATAATCTATTGGCAAACAATCATATATAAAAAAAAAAAATGGAGTTGGGTTCCACCGAACCCCCCAGATCTGGGTTCGACGGAACCCAGCGACGGAACCGAAGTTGGGTTTCATCGAACCCAGATACCCAACAATCAAACCCAGCTCTGCTGAGTTCGATGACCTAAGGAAGAAGAGGAAGAAAGGAGAGGAAGAAAAAAAAAAGAAAAAGGAAGAAGATGAATGGAATTATTTTATTTTATTTTATTTTTTTAAATATAAATAGTAATCACGTGAATTGGCATGAAAGAAAATTTCACGTTAACACGTTTTCAATTTGTTTTTGTCACGTCATTAAAAAAACTATAAAAAAAGTCACATGAGCGAGTTAACGATCTAAATTAGCAGAAAGATTAATGAAGTGCATTTCTTAAAGTTTGGGATCAAAAAAGTGCAAAAAATTATTAAGGGACCAAAAATGTGCAACTCACTAAAGTTGAGGGACCAAATTTAACATTTAACCTTAAATAATTAACTCTTTAGTATTATAAAAATTTAAACATTTGACATTAATTTTATATTAAAAATTTTTAATTAATAAATGTCAACTCAATCAAATTTTTATTAATATATGATTTTTTTATATGT